TCTCTCTCTCTCTCTCTCTCTCTCTCAAAAATAAAAAAACATTTAAAAAAAAATTTTTTTTAGTAAATAATTCCAAAGGGAAGAGGGTACCTGTACTATGGCAAGCCTGTCAGACACTACCTTAACCAAGTGATCAAATTCATTTTCACCAAATAACAGAATAGAACATAATGTACTTCCTGAGCCCATGCACTGAGGACATAATACTCCTACAAAAAATATTTAACCTAAGTTTAAGATGTACATGTTTTTATAAGTAAACAAGGAAATATATCCAAATTAAGGGATACTGTGTAAAACAACTGACCTGAGCTCTTACATATGAAAACGCCCTTACTCTTAAGAGATACAGGGGCACCTGCGTGGCTTAGTCAGTAAAACATCTGACTCTTAATTTTGGCTCAGTTCCTATGGTTCATGAGATAGAGTCCCACATCAGGCTGACAGCACGAAGCCTGCTTGGGATTCCCTCCCTCTCTCTCTCTCTCTCTCTCTCTCTCTGCCCCTCCCCTCACACTCCCTCTCTCTCAAAATAAACTTAAAAACCAAAGAGAGAGAGAGAGATTAAAGAAAATAAAGGTGAAACACCATGATGGCTAGAATTAACTTTCAAATTGTACAGCAAAAAAATAAAAATTCTGAATATACATAAATACACATAAACATGGAAGGGATGAAGAAAGTGGGGGTAGACAAAATATGGCAAACTTAATTGGTGTTCACTGTACTATTCTAGCAACTCTTTGGAAAGTTTGAAAAATTTTAAAGATACATTATTTCTTAACTGCTCAGGAGGTTTGAGGGTTTTTTTTTTAAGTTTATTTATTTTGATAGCAAGAGAGATGGGGGGATGGGGAGGGGAGGAGCAGTGAGGCAGAGAGAGAGAATCCTGCCAACAGGCTCTGCACTGACAGAGGCTTGAACTCATGAACCATGAGATCATGACCTGAGCCAAAACCAAGAGTCGGATGCTTAACCGACTGAGCCACCCAGGCCTCCCAGTTTGAAAATTTTAAATAAGAAATTCTGAGAAAGTCTGAGAAGCAAAAGACTAAGAGATAAGATGAAAAATTAGTAAAGTAGAATCACAGAAGTCAAGGAAAGAGAGTTTCAAAATGCTGTGGTCAATAGCTTCAACACAACAGAGAGCTAAATTAAAGATGAATTAAATAAAGAAAGACCACTAGATTCAGCCATTAGGAGATTAGTGGTGACTTAGGGAACAAGACTTTCATTCAAATAGTAGAGTCATTAAGTCAAAGTATAGTAAGTAAAAACAAACAAACAAACAAACAAAAAACAATAAAACATGACTTCTCAAGAAATTCAGGTATGAAAGGCGAAGAGGGTGGAAGCTATAGGGAGACTTTGTATGATCGAAGGATTTGTTTTACTAAACATGGCAAAGACATAAATATATTTAAACAAAGAAAGAAGATAGGATAGAGGATGGAAAGAGAGAAAGAAGTGACAAAGACCCCATACAGGCAAAAAGGGATGAGATCCAAAACATAAAGAATGGGCTTAACTTTGGAAAGAAGGAAGAATACATTTCCCACTAACACTGGAAAGAAGGAAGTAAAGACAGGTGAAAATGCAGATTAATATGGTATTAGGGGTAGAGATCAGAACAGGAAGTAAAAGGAAATCACATGTGACAGCCTCAAATAAAAAGAGAGGCAGTCTATTAAAAGAGGAAAGAGGGACTGATAGCAAAGTTGCAGAGAATGGAAGGAGTTGTCTAAGGACATGTAAAAAATAGTTGGTGAGTACTGGGGGTCCAAATAGGTTGGGGACTATGAATTTGTTTCAGCAGCAACCTACAAGTTTGTGTGATTTTTGCCAGCAATGTTCCAGCAGCTGACATACAGGAATAAAAGAGCATTAACAATGAAATTGATTAAGATTAGGACTTTCCTAAACATAAGGTCAATGGGGCTAGCAAGTGACTGAAATGGCAGATTATGCTGATTAGGCTGGATTCAAAACAAAGTGAAATAAGAAGGGGCTTAAGAACTTCAGGAAAAAAACAAAAACGTCAAAGGACTAAAAGGTTTAGGGTCAAAGACCATGCATTGTGGGAATAAAGAAGAAAGTTATTGTTCTATTATAACCCAATACTTCAGAGATGAAGAATACAGTCATGGAGACTGGTAAAGTGGAATGGAGGTGAAACCTGATGGAGTTAAGATCAAGGAATTAGAAGGCCAAGCTATGGATTACTTACTTAATACAAGGAGAATGAAGACATCCAGGATGACAAGGCTTAGGAGTGAAGAAAAAAATGATAAAAGGTGAGAGAGGCTCCAACCCCAAAGTAGAAAGGATTTTGACCACAGTATAGAAGAGAAATGGTAACAATAAGCTTATCAGTTTTTCCCTTGAATTATATAGTAAGCAGAGTGATAGGCAGAGACTACATCTGCCTCAAACACTAAATCCTAGTTTCTAGCATAATGCCTGGCACACTGCTGGTTTTCAATTGATTCAATAAAAGAAAGAATGGAAGAAATATGACCAATCTGTGAACCACAAGCCTTTAACCAAAGGGTCTAAAATTTACAGTGTGGCCTGAACTAATGCCATAGGCAATAGTATTTTGCTTCCAGGATACATTTTTGTTGCAACTGGTAAGAAAGGGAAATCGTCTTTTCCTCAACATTCCACCATAAGAAAATACCCAAATGGTACCATTCCTGTAAAAAAATCCCAAGATAATTGATAAATTCAGACTGTCCAAATGCACCCCTCATTTAAGATAAAAGACACCTGGTTCTACTTTGATTTCCTCTTCAAGGAGGGAAAAAGAGATGTTCTTACCACATACTGAGTTCAAGAGCATTAGTATGCTTCCAGGATAATAAAGTCAGAATAAAGAAACTCAAAGGCAGCATACAGTGATCTTAGCTAGTCAGGAATCAAAATTATGGACTTAATCCTAGCAACCTCTTTCATTATTTACCCTGTGAGCTTATTTTCAGGGGCAACAAGGGGGAAAAAATGAGACAGTATCTGATTCTATAGCCAGGCTTAGGGAAAGAAAAACCCTGAGAGTAGGAGGGAATGCTAAGCAAAAGGAGAGGCAAACAAGTTAGGTTTTAGAAGCCTGGGCCCAAAAAGGAGGTCCGACATTTAGCAATAATTAAATCTATGGATTTCCCAATACATTGCACCCATCCACCATCAGTAGAAAAAGACAACATCCTCTTCTTTTCATTAAAGATACCCATGCCAGAAACATACTTCACTCAAGATAGAATTAGGACTAATTATGGTCAGCCCTGATTATAAAATATATCAAAAGGAATAAATTAACCTAAGAATCTTGACTAGTACTCCTTTCAACATTCCGAGAACAAGCATTACTACACCATCTCCAATTCTATATCTAACAGGCTTTACAGATCAATAATTAATCTAAAATGTTTCCAATGGGAAAGCCAGACAGTACATTAATTCTGACTTATTGATACAGAAACTGATGTTCAGAATATCTAAATTGCTGGAGCGCCTGGTTGCCTCTGTCAGTTAAGCATCCAACTCTTGATTTCAGTTCAGGTCACAATCTCACAGTTTGTGGGATCGAGCCCCAATGACAGCACAGAGCCTGTTTGGGATTCTCTTTCTCCCCAGAGAGAGAGGGATTCTCTCCTCTCTGTCCCTGCCCCGCTCATACACGTATGCACGTGCCTTCTCTCAAAATAAATAAAACATTAAAAAAAAAAAAGAGTATCTAAATTGGTTCTTTAAGACAATCAGTGGGGAAGGGGGGTGGAGCACCTGGGTGGCCTAGTCGGTTAAGGGTCAGACGTCAGCTCAGGTCATGATCTCACTCACTGCTGGTGAGTTTGAGCCCCGAGTTGGGCTCTGTGCTG